AACGAATTTAATTATGATTAAATTATAGCCACTAATGGCTGCCATAAAAAGAACCAATGTCAGACGTAATCGTCCTACAAGAATATTCAAAGTATAATTACAATTTGTTCCAAGCAGAACGCATTCATTCTCTAAGCTCCTCCAATTCGTTACGCTGCTAGTCGGAAGCAGTGGATACTTCAGTCGTAATCCCCTCATCAACTTCCAGCTTTGTGTAATGCTCGACCAAAGACCTGGTTCGCTCAAATTCTTGGGAAGCATTACGCTTCTTGGCAGCTAGTCTAGCCTTACAATCGTCTATCTTTGCTTGGAGTTCCTTCATCTCTGCAGTTAGGTTCATCATCAAAGATTCTTCAACTGCAACTTCAGAAGAGACTTCATTCAGATCAACTTTAGCCTTCTCAACCTCTTGAAGCAAAGACTCTTTCTCGGCTACAGCTTAGATATACTGAGTCTTCTTGGCCTTCAACTCTACATTCTTGGCTAGTAAAGAGATTATCTCGGAGTGGATGATCTTCAATGTCAGCTTAGAGTCAGATGAAATTTTGAGTGAAGAAAGCTCAAGTGTTTGAGTCATTTTCGCATTCAAAAGGTCAAATCTATCTCTTTTTTTAGTAGCACTAGCTTTGTGGATATCCATGTCCATGAATGAATATTTATATTTTCCTTTGAGAATACAGCAGATGAAGAAGAACGATGACTAGCTGGAGATGGGCGAGATGTCTTTTCTTGTTCCCAAAAAGTGAACAAGTCCTGAATGGAGTTTAAGAGGGTGTTAGTGTCCTATAAAGAAAAAATGCAAGCATTTATCATTTTTATTGCAGTAAATGAAGTGGAGTTGAAAGATTAAACAAAGGCTACCTCAGCAGCAGCTTTGGTCACTGGTTGACCCAGCCACTTGTGGAGATTTCCCCTTGCCTGAACAAGTAGGCTCAGCCACAACGGGCAAATCCATAGGAACCTCTGCAAAACTCAAGTGGTAACGAGTTAAAGGTCAATAACACAATAAAGGGAAAAGACCATAAAGTGTTTATTATGTTCTGGTTCAACATGTGGGGGGTCTGCCCTGGGAACGTGGTAGCTCTCCAGTTATTTGTGCAGGTGAAGACTCTGAGACTACAGCTTTCTCCTTAGGCAAAGCCCCTACATCGGACAATTTGGATGAAGCAACTTCAGTAGAAGGTGATAGAGCAGGGGTTGCTAAAGTCAGAGCATTTGACAGAGAAGTAGAGCTTTTCTGAAAATTCAGGTAAAACATTAGCCTATGAAGAATTGTTTTATGCATAAATAAACAAGCTCAAATACCTTTCTTCTGACTATGAGAGGAGCATCATCATCATCATCATCTGGCAAAACTGGTAAAGATGGGGTTGGCCGTTTGTGGCTGAAAGAACCCTTAGCTATACTAGCTTGAGTAGGTGGGGAAATAGATGAAAGAGCAAGATGTTTAGCGCGAGCAGGGGAAGTGGGATTCCTGATAGACACATGAGTGGTAAGAATAGGAGAAGTGGAAGAAGTTGCTGGCCATTCTAGCAGGTGGAAGGCATGTTTAACATCAGAAGCGAATAGGCTACGCTTCGCAGATGGCGAAAGTTGTTCAAAAAGAGGATGAATGGCAGAAGTAGAGTTGAAATAGGCTAATGAGAAGCTGTTTGTCAAACGAATATTACGGGCATCAACGACTTGTGCTTATGCTTTATTAATAGTACGGAAATGGTCTATTAAGCTTTTAGAATAGCAAGAATGAACCGGACACGTTTGGCCAAAGCCAAGCTAACGAGCAAAAAACTAGGGAGCATATATCTTAACCCTGACCTTGGCATTTGTTCTGGTTAAGAGCTCGTGGAACAGTTCTCTCCCAACCAAAAATTGGACCCAAATAGGCAAAAATATGCTCACATTGTCCATGGTTGACAAAGGTTGCACATAATTTGGAATCGAATGAGCAGGAAAAGGAAAAAAAAAAAGGAAGATATTGAATCCAAGTTATAAAAGAATGAAAAAAGTCCTTATTAGACATATTCACAGCGCTCAATTGGTCGATGGTCAGCCCGTAACAGCTAGCAGATAGAAAAGGAGTAGACGAAACACTAAGTTGTGGAAATTATGCTCTCAACCACAATTGAGCAAGCCAAGAGGCCCACTACCAGTGGGAGATACACCATTCTTCAACTGAAGCTAAAAAGAAGTCATGCCTCTATAAAATACGGCTAAGAATAATAAACAAAGGTTTAAAGATCTACCACGCGTTAACTCATGCGCTATGGGTAGATAGCTCATAGAAGGCTTCATGTTGGGCACACAAAGAACTTATTTACAAAGTCAAACTTGAAGAAAGGCAACATGCTCAGCATGAGAAAGTTCAGCGCTAGAGTTATTATACATTTCTTGCATGCCCAAATGGGAATTAGTAAGTTTCTTGTCAAATTTTGGGGCAATAGCAGTAACCAAAATGTCAGGGAAAATTGTGTCATCCAAAGGTAGAAGGTTTACTAGGGCTCCAACGTCCCTTAGGATAATAGACATTGGACCAAGCCGGAAATAAAGGCATTGTATTCAGAAGACCAAAAATTTAAAGCGATTGGGAAAAACACTGGTCATAAATTGGGGGACGGAGATCGATTTCTAATAAATCTGAAATCCTAGCGCGATCAAAAATAACTTTAGTGGGGCCATGATTTATCATACATGCATGCCACCTACAAAAAATAGTACCAGTTTTGGGCCAAGTACGAATACCTTTTTTCGTGAATCGGCTTCAGTGGCAAAGAGTTCAGAAACGGAGGGTCTTGAGTGCAAGGGAATAGCTGACCCACCCCTGCTTGTCCGACAGATTTAGCATCATTAAACGACGGATCCAGATAAAATTCATGGAGATCAGGGTTGATCGGTGAAAGAAAAGTCGAATTTATATATGGGTTGGTAAGGAGGTTTTGAAAATCCTCGAAACTAAGAGAGTTGTCGAAAGAAGTTTGTGATGTCGCCATTTGATACAAAATACAGTCTTTGTGAGAGTTGCTTAAGAAGCGTAGCAGGGAAGCAAGAAGATGAACAGTGAAAGAGAAGCACGCAATGTAAAGACGTGGGTTAATGGCGCGATGAAGTGGTGTGTACTTTAATTTATAGGGGTTACGTGGTGTTACACCTTTTAGGATTACCGCCACATGAAAATAATGATTGTGATTATCCTCCATTTTTCGAGAAATCAAGCATTGCCAAAAAGTATAAAGAAAGAATATGGCATAAGATTAATACTTGGTATTTATTTTGCCATATTGGAGGGCAATTGTTGACATACAAAAATGAGGCCCAATTATATAGTCCAAGAAATAGAGCTCAGTTGGGAAATTTGAGGAATGGCCCAAATGAGACCATTGTAAAATATGGTGAAAGCCGATGAACGGAGGGCTATTATCGCCAAAGCCTATAGGACGCCCATGATCTGAGCGAATGAAGTACCTTATTATCGCTCAAAACGACGATCCCATTCTCGCACAAGCCTTCAAGACACCCAAGGTCTGAGCGAATATAGCGTTTTGACGTTATTTAAAGCGGCAGTTATTGAAGCAGTTATTGAACAATCTTATCATATTCTATGATCCAAAAATCTCGGTTGCAAGAAGTTAAG